CAGGGCTTCCCTGAGGGGGTGCCCAGGGCATCCCAGGTGAGGGTGGCCCCTGAGAGGAAAGGGGATGCGTGAGAAGCTGCGAGCGGGGCCTGAAGGCAGGTGGGAGCAGGAGGAGTAGGTGAAGTGGTGGACGGGGCCTGGCGAAAATTGCGCCAGGTGGTAGGGTCCGCGAGGCCGGGGATTGCCTCTCGAGCCTAACGAGCCGCGGGCCGGGCACGCCGCGGGTCTGCCTGCCCGCTGCGAGCGCCCTGGTCAGCTTCTCGGGTGCTGCTCGGTGCCTGCTCGGGAGTTTGAATGAGTCCTCCCTCCTCCCCTAGAAGGCGAAGTAACCGGGCTGTCTGCGTGCCACATGTTCTCCTCCCCTCTGCAGGCCTCTCCTAGGGAAGCGGAGCCTACAGGAGCTACCATGGCTGGCAGGAGGGTCCTCTGTCTCTCTCTTTTAAGGATTTCCTAAGGCACTGAAGAGATTTTTGCGAGTAATGAGTTTCAGGCTCATTTTGTTTGCAGCCACGACCAAACTATAAGTACTGTGTATATACGATTGTACTTTGAGTCATTGAGGAGGCTTTGAAGGAGAGAGGCTTAGGAGAAAAAGAAATAGTTTATTGAAACTGTGGACAAAATATCTATTGTAGTGCTAAACATTGCCTTACCATTCAGTCACAGTTAGAAAAGTATCTTCTATAATGATGATAAAGAAGTCACTTTTGCTAGTAGTTGCCTAATGTTTGACTAGTTAATTATATTTTAGTAATCATCTGAGACCTGTTTTAAGAGGAACATGAGACCATTTCTTTTGCATAAAGTCTATTTTCTAAGATCTGTCTTCTGAGTGAATATTTTGCTTTTCATGTTTTTGTTCTATATTGCCTGCAGAAGAGGCTGTTCTTTGAACAGGGATAAATGTTTTTAGTTTTGGTTGTTGTTTTTTTCTTGCTTTGTCTTTTTTCCCCCATTTTGTTTCACTATTCCCATTCATTAATGCATTGGGGTCCGTCATGACTCAAACTTTTAGGTGCTGCCTAAAAAATATGGAAAGGTGCTGCCATGATAAAAGTATGGAAATTACACATGATTTATGGAGCATTAGTTTATGTAAACTCACAGAGCTTGATTTATCAGTTTTTAAAAATTATAAAGATTTCAGAAAAAGTATAGTTTCCTGTATATGAGTTAGATCTGAAGGGGAACATATAAAGGATACCAACATCAGTAATCCTCTGAGAGCACCCTTTGGGACTATATTTCTTATTAACACTTCCCATTTTTCCAGTCCTCTTCTGTGAAACATAAACTTTTTTTTTTAAGTTAGCTAAGCAGTCATCAAGCTGTTATCAAAAGAAGATTTTTTTTTTTTTTCCCCCCTTAGGATCTCAGAAAATCTGTGGATTATGGGGGAATTTGGAGTGAAGACTATGAACTGCAATGGAGGATTTTACTCTGCTGCAGCATGGTGTCTCCACTACCAGTTCACTCCTCCATGCCATGTGCACTTAGGAGCCATCTTCCATTTGGAAGCAGAGTCAGTGAGTGCCAGGGAGCAAATCTGGCCATCTTTTAATGGAGTGAGGTTTAGGTAGGAGGCTAGGATGAGGCAGGGAAGGGATCTAGAGCTAAAGTAGTAGAGAGTGGA